GCAAATATGTCAATGATGCAAGTGAATGCTTTCATGAATGATAATGATGCAGAAATGTGTTAGAAGTCTTCATTATCGAAATCTCCAATCTTTATTATCGTCTTGGTCGAATATGTTTGTAATTCTTGGCTTGCAAAAATTGTTCTTTAGCCCCAATAAACTCTTGCCATAATGTTTCTTCTTTTTGTCCCGATATCGATCCTAAGCTTCCATGTCTAAGCAATATTTCGATTTTCAAGATGCATTCCCTAGAGAAACTATCTTGTTTTATTTTTTCAAAATGCGAGAAATTTTTTGAAAAGATAAAATTATGCCCCTTGCTTTAGGCTCATAATTGAAGTAAATCGTAAAACATAAGTTCATTAGATATCAAAAGAATCAAATGCTCTTTTAATCTTTCAAAGTTATAGTTCTTTGACAAGTGTCAAGACTAATGGTAAAGGTTCATCCAGAAAGGGTTTAGATTGTTTTTTTATGGATTCATTATTTGATGATCACGTATACTCGTTTCATATGTTCATGTATACCTTTGAGATGCCCCTTGAGCTCGTGCAAATTGCCAGTGATTGCTTGAAATGCCCCTATGGGCCCATTCAATATTGTAGTTCTAGACATTTTAGAGAGTTTTCATATTTAAGTCATCTGAAATCTTCCATTTGTTCATATTTCGTAGACTCCTTTAGCAAAAGTAGTGAAGAAATATCGATCTAAAAGCAAAACTCCTGAGCGTTTTTATGTAGTCGACTATAACAAATGTTTATTAACTCTCTTAGTCCACCTTTCATCCAAACTCATTATCAATTCACATTTATATAGGCCTTACCGCCTTTCTTTAAATTATAATTTGTTAACTTCGATGCCCTCCCTTTAGATTTGCTAGGAGATTAATCTCTACACATAGAGACTAGTGTAATGATCTGAATGTAATCGTATTCATAAATTTGGGGCTATTGACATATCATATTACTTTAGCGGAATACCCTTAATTAAAGGATTCAAGTGTCAAAAAGTCTTCGACTTGACAACTCAAACGAAACTCACTTCATAAAGCTCAGACATTACCTCAATGGTTGCTTTAGACATTACCTCCAAAAATTAACAACTTACTACTTTTAGTGGAGTGCCCCAGTAATATTAAAATTAACTTTCATTAATATCACATTACTTTCCCATGTTTTTTATTTCAATATTTCTAAACTCATTAAGAAAAACCTATTATAGTCTGAGTGTCAGTAAAAGTCAGAAAGTTCTATTTTTAGAGCTCAATTTCCAAGCAACTAGCCTAAGTTGAATTTATCTTCTCCACCATTCCAATTGTGCAGATTATGAATCATCATTGAGCGTACTAAATAGAACTGCAGTCTAAATGGTCTAGCCATACCGCATACATCGAATGCCCCATCTTACCTGTTTACGGGAAGACACATATTTCACTTAAGACTTGTATCGAAAGAAGACCTCCTTTGTGCCTAAAAAGGCTAGGGTATGGCTGAGAAAGGGTAATCGAGTGATTTTTTTTGGAATAAAATCAAGGGATTTTGTGCTGGGTGAAAGATCGAAGGGATCAATTTTAAGAGTGTAATCAAGTCAACTTGTCAAAGGTCTATAATCCAAATTCTTAAAAGATCCTTTAATTCAGTTGATATTTAAAGAACTCAAAGATTAAAGTTTACACATTGGTCATAACCTCATAAGGTAGCATTTTATTTAGTATGTTGAACGTCAAGAGATTTTTCTAAAAAAAAATAAACAATTTCGAACAAGATAGAATACAAGTGAATAATGCATCAGAAATGTCTTATTATTCTTCAAATGTCTATGCTCCTGAATCGATTAAATTCTAGACCTTGCTCTTTAGTGTCCTATAATTCTCAGTAGTATGTCCTAAACTTCCCACGTGGTAACTGCATGTGGCATTGACATTATAGCCTTTAGGATATGGGGTTTTATTGGTTTCGATTAAATAGTAGATAGAAGATTCCTCTCAACAGGCACTTGAAGTAACTCCTCGTATGTCACATGAAGTCTTTTATGAAACATGTTTATGAGATTTGTTCCAATGATTGGTTGAGCGAGACTCTACCTCATTGATCTCGACGTTATTCTTTACATCAGTGTTGTTGGTGCCCTTTATCTTACCACTCTTTATAGCTCTTTTGATCATTCCCCCACACATAACAATGTCAGAGAAACTTTTGGTTGTGGCTCCCAACATGTGGTCAATATAGGGTGACCTGAGTGTATCCATGAATAGAGTGATGAATTCTCTTTTAATCAATTATGGACGTACTTGGATTGCAATATCTTTTCATCTTTGTGCATATTGTATGAAGCTCTCATTACGCTTCATTTCCAAATTTTGCAGAGCTACTCGATCATGTCCCATGTCGCTCATGTGCTTATATTGCTCTAGGAATGAATTGACAAGATCTTTTCATGTCCTAATATGAACTTGCGAAAATGATCTCATCTCGACACGAGGAACACGGATCCGACCTCCATTTTGCGAGGAACAGTCTCCAACTTCACAAAAAAAGTCGTTAGTCGTTCAACTTTCTCCACTCCAATCTGCTGTCGTCCGCCATTAGATCATCTTGGTTTCGAAGTATGTTGCTTGTCTCACCGTAATGAAACTTCCCACCGTTCAAATTGGTGAACAAAGGCTCCGGTCGCCGGAGAACATCGTTGGTCAAAAGGGAAGGGCTCCCTTTTTTATTTTTCTATCTCGTTTTCTTCCTCTCTTGTGTAGAAACTCCTCCGTGTACTCACTTTTTTTCTCCTCTTTTACAAAGCAATCATTGGTTTATATAGCTAAAATTTTCTTCATTTTTGGTACATAAAATCATAGGAGATTTGGAGATTTCCTTCTCCAATTTGTTTCTGTTTCAAGGGATTCCAAATTTCCTCTTGCCCTTTTTGAGAAGATGATCACTCCGTATGTGCTGTTAATGAACCTTTTTTGTGCAAATTATGTTTCCATGTTTTGTTATTACCTTGTATTGCATGGTCAATGGTGCCATGTTGAGGAGAGATTGTCGATGCATGAAGAAGTATGAGCTTCGGCGAGTGAGCTACACGGTCGGGCTTGTCCACTTGTTCGACGATGCATGGGCTTCAACTTGGACCATTAACTGACTTTTTCTTAGACCTACATTAACAATAGTTATAAGATTAATACATAATAATACTAGTAAATATTAACAATACTAATAATAACTAATAATAATAATGAACTGTTAATAATAATAAAACTAATAATAGGTAATATTAATAAATAATATAATGACATATAGTAAATACTATAATAATAGGATAATAATAAAGTAAGTATAAAATAGACCAAAAGTATAAATAAATTTATATAACTCCGGACGAAAATAGATGTCTACATACCTATTTTATAAATATCAATGATAATTTTTCAGTTTTTTACCTTTCATATATAATTACAAACTACAACGTTTAACTAAATTCAAATTCATACATTTATTTGAAACATTTTTTTCAACAAAAAACATCTTTTCCTCTCAATTTTTACATTATTTTTCTTATTCTCATTCCTTTCGATGAGTCGTTTGTTGTGTCGGCTTGTTAGCTCTTCATTCTTCATTATTCTTCTTCTTCTTCTCATTCTCCTCTTCCCTTTTCAACTTCTTATGTTGATCAAGGATAAACTTTATTGATTCTTTCACCCACTCATTATCTGAAGACGGATTTTAATCCTAATCATCAATATCAAAGTAATCAGACCAAAGATGATCTTTCGAAAATTGCTTGAAATATTCTTCCCACAAGTGCATATTTTGGTTCTCCTATAACTTTATCAACTAAACCAATTCCTATTTATAAGGTGACAAGCTCCAACGGCTACCAATGACTCTTTTTTTCAAATCTAAATGGATATAAATATTTAAACAAAGGAACTCGTCATCTAGAAGTAACGAGTTCCTTTGTATTTCCCCCCCCCCAAAACTATTTTCATAATTATCTTGAAAAATATTATTATTTTAATAGAACTCGTTACTTCGAGATGATGAGTTCGATAAGATATATTAAAATATCGAGGTGAGAGTTTCTTTGCACTGTAAAAATGCCGTAGATTCCAAAATAATTTTTTGTGTGCCCTATTAAGCCAAATAATCTTATTTGGTGCGCTATTGGGCCAAAAACACCTGGGTGTTAAATGAACCCAAATATACGGGCTTGTTTATCTGAGGATGCAATTATATAACCCACTACTCAAACATCCTAGATGTTTCCATTTCCATACCATCTCCCTGTATATAAACAACCAGCGAGCCCTAAATTTCCTTCAATCCGATCTCTCTGCTATAAACCCTACATAGCTAGAGCCTCCAAACCCTCCATGGTAGCTTGAGTTAATCTTATGATTTTTCATTATCTTCTGATTTAAATGCCGGATCTTTTAGTGTATATTTTGCCTCCTTCCTTTTTCCGTTTTGCCTGTGATGGTGTTAAATATTCTTTGAGAGATGTTTTTCTCTTTGAAATAATTCAGATCTGAGGCAAAACGGCTAATTCTTTTGTGTGTTCTATGGACCTTATAATTTGTTCTTGAATCTGCATCTTTGCTTGAGTGTTCGTGTTTAATTAGCTTATGAACATGCATTTGATTACCAAGTGCTTTGCATTTTATATGAATTTGCTTATGAAATCTTAATGTTGATATTGTTTATGCAATGAAAAGGGAATCGCTTTATGTTAAAGATATATGTTATTCTTTGTTACCACTGTCAGCTTCCGAGTCTTGATTTACAATTGATTTTTCTAGTTTCCATCAAAATCTGATTTATTTGTCATAAATTTGTGCAAGTGATGATAAAACAGACAGGGACATCAGAACCCTTTATAGGATGATGAGTTGTCTATCAATGGGAATCTCTCTGATGCACAAAAATGCTTTCTTTTTATCCAGGTCTTTATCAAAATTCCTTTTATGTACGCCAATGATGGTTGCGTTAAGATGTAATACCGTGTTTTGTCTATGATGCATCAAAATGCACGTATTATCAGATCAAATAATGATGATCTGATAATTGTCACTACCTCTGAGACAGACCATGTGCATTTTTTTTATTGATTTCGGTTTAAACTATACAAATTTAAGCATTAGAATGAATCTCCTGTGAGTAGAGCGATATCAAAATACCATCTTTCGGGGCTGAATGGCTCTCTGAGCCCTGATGTTCATTGTCTAGTATTTTCGGTTTTGCCGACCTTGTTTTCATTTTCTGTTGAATATGCTGGATGCTAGCTTTGAAAAGATTTTGGGTGCATATTTGGATATCGTATTTGCATTTAAACTTGTTGTGTACATGTTATCTTTGTTCCAAGTAAATGACATTCTTAATAGGTTCATCTTGATGGCGTAAATTCGTCTACTGGGGTGTACATTTGGAGTAAACATTGTTCCAGCACGTGTATTGGTCAAGTAAACCTTTCTATCAATGGAGATGGAAGAAAATAATATATTCTATAGAGTTATAGAAAACGCTTGTGCCTGATGATTGTTAAGAAGAACGGAGATCCGATGGTGCGTTTTGTTGAACTTGATTTACGTATTGAGCTCCAAAAGGGCATCTCATATGATGATAAGATCTTCCATATCCGATATGAAGGCATATCGAGACATACAAAGTTTCATGGAGCAAAATGGGAAGGTTTTTTTCTTTTTCTTTTCTAGCAAATTAATCTACTATATAGAAGCTGGCAAGCATACATGATTGGATGTTTAAGAAAAAAAAATTAATCTAATTTGTTAGATAACACTGGGATAATACTGGTCTAAATAGTTAGATACATGCGGCGAATATAATTTGTTACTTTTGGGTTAATTATTTGAATACCATTCACCTTTGAGCTTGAACTATGATTTTCAATTTTAACAATATTAACACTAATGTTTATTTAGTTGCAATTATGGCATTCTAACGTTAGGATGTTGATACGACGTTTTAACACACTAATGCTTATATTTAGTTACATTTATGTCACATTGACGGTGATAACTTGAATGATTTCATTAAAATCATGATTTTAATCTAAGTAGGACCTTTGTTGATATTTTAATAATATTTTATTCAATAAAAAAATCTCAATTTGCAACCTAACCCTAAATCACAAAATCATTTGTTTCATTCCCCCTCTGACAGGGTTCAAAACTATGGACATGAAAAATGCAAGCAACCCAACATTTAATACTTGGAAACTTGAAATTTTCAAGCAACCCAACTTGAAATACCTGGAAATTAATAATTTGTGTTGGAACCTGGAAAAAATCTAATCAATATCTCTAATTTTTGTTTTGGAACCTGCAGGAAAATTCAAGCAACCCAAGTTTTCAGAAATGGTTTTTTTCAGGGAAACTTAGTTCATGGTCTTGGACACTCTATATTGTTCGGGAGATTCATGTCGAAATCTTTGTTTCGGGAGTGGTGGTCGGCGGTTTCTCATAACTAATATGTTGAAGAGGCGGAGAGATTTGCGAGGCCTAGTTCAGTGGCTCAAAAGAAAGCATTCTTTGAAGCTCATTAAAGACCCCTACTGCTAGGGAAGTAGTCACCATGCTCGAACAAGCTAAAAATGCTACTGAAACTGAGACCTTTTCCTAAGAAGACAAGCACTCGAGTGCAGAAAGTTTAGTGGCACAAACGAGTTTGAGCTCAAAGGCGAGTTGTATTTGAAGTAGTTTATCCTTACAAAATTAGTATTTGAACTTTACCCTCTCTCTTATCTCACTCATGTACTTTAAATCTTTTTAATTTCTTCACTGAACTTAATAATTGGGTTTTTTTAGTCACTTGACCGTTAAATAGTTAAGGTGTTAAAATGAATTGTTATATAGATGCAAACGACGTCGTTTAGTGAATTTTTTGGTTTTTTTTTAAAACGGCGTTGACTATTTTAACAGAAGATTGATCAAAATAGAAGGGGATTAAGTTTAGTGACCAAAATAATCCATATATTAAATTCGTAAGGCAATTGACACTTTTAAAATTCAATGAGCAAAATAAGATAAAGAGTAAAGTTCAGTGATAAAATTTGTAATTTACCCTTTTTTATTTTCTTAAACAAAAAATAATTATTTTATACTTAATATTGAATAAGGCTCAACAATCGTATTCTTTTATTTTAGTTCAGCCTGAAACTATTGTATATGTATACATTAAGCATATATCATTTGACCCTACTTACATTAGATTATATTCATGTTGAACGTTTCTTTTACAAAGGAATTCTTGAACTTAATATCAAATTAAAATGATCGGCTAAAGGACTGCTCTCAACATGGACCACGTTATCGATGAAAACCAAAGAAACCCTAGAAAAATATGATCGACATCCATGATAACTCCAATGGACGCCCGCCGGAAAGTGTCGCCAACCTGGGTTACCCTCCATCCTGGAACGACCAGGCTCCCCTGTTTCCAGATGAAATAAAACAGACTGCGAAAAGACTAGGACAATCGAAATCTTCGAGGCTCCATCACCCATGCAAACCGAGCCACCGACAAAGAAGATGATGGAAATAAAGGAACAAACATGGGAACCAATATGGAACCAATTAGCAATCCGGTAACAACCCACAAAGCATCGTATACTTTGATGGCGGCCAAGAATCCATATGGGAAGGACATGAAGGCTTGGTCCAAGGCTTCGAAATAGAAGAGTTGTACTGGATGAAGATTGTGTTGTGGATGAATCTGGTGCAATCCCGACAATCACTTTTTTCTGAAAGGGTCCACGACCAATCGATAAAGCATGCAAACGTTATAATAGTACGACTCTTGAGACTTACGATAGCTACAAAACCCTACTTTACAGAATTCCAGCCTCTGGCGGCCCCGAGGAGTTGCAACTCGTCGACCTTGAAACAACAACTATTTGGTTACATTCGAAGACAAAAGAGATTATATGATGTCTTAACCGAAGGGTCGGATGATCTATGAAAATTACCTGACGTTCAACCATGGAGTAAACTTCTCCATAGCGGAAAAGCATCCCTCACATGTCGTTTGTTTGGACTCGCCTGCCGGGTCTACCATACATGTACTACTGTAAAGCTTTCTTAAGGAGAAGTGCAAGGTGGTAAGGCAAGTAAAAAGTGGACTACCACCTTTTTTTTTTGAAATAAGGACTACAACACCCAAGCAGCAAAAGGGGTAAGTTTGCGAGAATAGCGGTAATGGTAGACTTGAATAAACCACTCAAACCATGTATTGACATTGATAATTTTATACAAAAAATTGGATTACGAAGGACTTCAACAAATATGCTACAATTACAGGATTTACGGTCTCACCAAAGATGTATGTGCACTTCCACAGCAGCAATGGAAATAACAACGGAAAAAGACAGACATGAACAACCGGTTACTTCAGAAACAACACTGAGGAATTTTATGGACCCTGGATGATAGTAAACAACCGACGGTGCAAAGCCAATACAAACCACAAGTTGAAAACCAAACAAAGGGTTCAAGATTTGCTGTACTAAGGGAGGAAAACACAGGAAACAACGAGGAAGATGATCATGTGATATCAACAGTAACGGGAAGTTCCCACGATGCACAAAACAGCAATCGCACATAAGGCCCAGTAACAACGAAGTACAACATAGGAAATCCTCAAAGAATGTTGCATACATAGTCTTAAACCTTGAGAAAGAATTGAGAAAGCAGACCCTTTAACCATCAGACCAAGCAAGAATGGCCGTGATCCCAACAATAGAAGGCCAAGTGGCTGAAGCAGCAACCCACAACATCCTAAAAAAAAGTAATCATACAGCAATAGCAATCAAGGAGCCGGCTTTGAACCAAGATCTCAGACCAATAACAAGTTAACCAAAACGAGAGGTTTAAGCATCAGAACACCCGTGGAGACCAAGAAAAAGGGTGTGAGGAGCCCAAAAAACGAATGAACCACAGTCCCTCTACATACCATCCCACCGGACTGGGTCAAGAATTTTTCAAAACAGCTAGATGCGTTCGCAACTAATGGAAGCAGTCTAGAAGTTGTAGATAATCATAACAGGGAATCACGGTAACAATCGGAGCTAATGACAGGAAACAAAATGAGTGACAAACGAACAAATAAAGGAATTGGTCGATGTTGACTTTCGGGATGATACCGAACATAGGTCCAAGCTCCATCTCTAGAAAACCTTTCTAGTTACAACTTTATCATGTCTTTTATATTTTGGAATTGTCAAGGCGCAGCAAGCCCAGCGTTTTCGAAGAATATTCAGATTAATGATAAAAGAGTACCAACCTAGCGTGGTCGCGCTATTTGAAACTCGGTCCCTGGCAATCAGGCAGACAAAAGACTGGGTCAAGAATTTTTCAAACAGCTAGATGCGTTCGCAACTAATGGAAGCAGTCAAGAAGTTGTAGATAATCATAACAGGGAATCACGGTAACAATCGGAGCTAATGACAGGAAACAAAATGAAGTGACAAACGAACAAATAAAGGAATTGGTCGATGTTGACTTTCGGGATGATACCGAACATAGGTCCAAGCTCTAAGTCTCTAGAAACCTTTCTAGTTTACAACTTTATCATGTCTTTTATATTTTGGAATTGTCAAGGCGCAGCAAGCCCAGCGTTTCGAAGAATATTCAGATTAATGATAAAAGAGTACCAACCTAGCGTGGTCGCGCTATTTGAAACTCGAGTCCCTGGCAATCAGGCAGACAAAATTATCTCTACATTCGGTTTTGCCAACTCCTTCCGTATCGAGGCCAACGGTTTCAAAGGAGGCATATGGATCCTATGGCGAGACTCAATTGACCTGGAAATTTTACACATATCAAATCAGTTTATAAATGGCAGGATCCGCGATCAAGCAGCTCAAACATGGGTGCATTTTACAACTGTATATGCGAGCCCCCAAAACATGACAAGGAAGCACTTATGGGTCAAACTAATTAAACTAGATCCGGTTATGATACCCCTGGGTATTAGGAGGCGACTCAACATCATAATATGCCCCGATGAAAAAACGAGAGGCTCATATCACGCGAAAGGAGCAAACAATTTGTCGATTTTATACATAATG